CTGTTCTTCAGATAATCTCTAAATTCAGGTGGGATATATTCATGGTCATATTTTGGCTCTCGTGGACTTGTTTGCATTTTCTTCAGCTTCAGTTTGAATTTGCACATGAGTAATTGATGATCTGTTCCACAGTCTGCCCCTGGTCTTGTTTTCACTGATGATTTGGAGTTTTTCGATCGTCTCTTTATGTAGATTTAGTCAATTTGATTTCTATTTATTCCATCTGGTGAGGTCCATGTATATAGTCATCTCTTATGCTGTCTAAAGAAGGTATTTGAAATGAACAAATCATTGCTTTTGCAGAATTCTATCATGCGTTCTTCAGCATCATTTCTATCACCAAGGCCATATTTTCTAACTACTGATCCTTCCTCTTTGCTCCCAACCCTTGCATTCAAATCACCACTAATGATCAACACATCTTGATTGCATGTTTGATCAATTTCAGATTGAAGAAGTTGGTAGAATTCTTCTATTTCATCCTCACTGGCTTTAGCGGTTGGTGCGTAAATTTGAATAATAGTGGTATTAATTGGTCTTCCCTGTAGATGCTGGATATTATCCTATCATAGACAGCGTTGTACTTCATGACTGATCTGGATATGTTCTTTTTCACTATGAATGCAACAGTATTCTACTTCAATTTGTCATTCCTGGCATAGTAAACCATGTGTTTGTCTGATTAAAAATGGCCAATACCAGTCCATTTCAGCTCACTGATGCCTAAGATATCAATGTTTATGTGTTCCATAACAGGGAAACAATTATCCATCCAAATAAGCATGACAAAGGGAATGAAAATTCAAAATAGGGATGGGTAAATAGGGAAAAAGGGAAAGAAGAAGGCTATACTACAATGGCATTAAAATATAATTAAAGAATTCAGGAAAATAGTTTTAAAGGTGCTAAAAGAAAAAAATCTGAAAAAAAATATTGCAGCCAAGTGGGCAATAACTGAAATGACAAACACAATAGAAGGACTTACAAAGAGATTGAATCAAGCAGAAGGATCAGTGAAGTTGAGAATAAACAGATAAAATGGCAGATGCTGAAGATTAACAAGAATGGAAGCTCAAATAGCCTGAGCATTGTTTAATTAAATGGAAACAACAACAAAAGACCTACTATGTACAACATGAGAATTCCAGAAGGAGATGTGAGAGACAAAGATGTAGAAAGACTATCTGAAGAAATAATATCAATTTCTCAAATCTACTGAAGGACATGAATCTACAAATCCAGGAAGCTCAAAGAACCCCAGATAGGATCAACCTAAAGAGTTCTAAACCAAGATACAGTTAAACCCACTGAAACCTACTGCCATCCATTTGATTCCAATGGACACTATAGGACAGAGTAGAACTTCTCCCATAGGGTTTTCAAGGCTGCAAATCTTCATGGAAGCAGATTCTACCTCTTTCTGCCATGGAGCAGAGAGTGGGTTCAAATAAGCATCCTTTTGGTTATCACTGGGTACTCTAACCGCTGTGCAACATCATAGTTAAGATCCCCAAGTGAAAGACAAAGCCAGAATCAACAAGGCAATGAGTAAGAAGCTAGCAATCACAAACCAATGATCCCCTATAAGAATAACTACAGTTTTTATGTTTTCGTTTTTACATCAGAAACATTGGAGGCCAGAAGGCAATGGAATAACATGTTTGAAGTGCTAAAAAGAAAAAGAAAAAGAAAAGACTGTCTATCAAGAGTACTGTACCCAGGAAAACTATCTTTCAGGAATAAGGGTTAAATTAAAATATTCCCAGACAAACAAAAACAGAGACAGTTTATACCTACCAGACTGACCCTAAAACAAAACAAAACAAAACAAAAACTAGAGGAACTCTGAAGATGTAAGGGCAAAGGCACTAGAAAGGGATTCAAATATAAACACTAAAGAAAATTTCCAGAATAAAGAATATGTATGGTCAATTTTAAGAGCTTGTAATAAGTATTGATGCTTGATAACTCTAAATGTTTTGTCTTATATATTTTTAATAACAAATATATAAGAGGCAAGTATTAACTTATGTTATAGGATACATATTATACAGACATGCAAATACATGTGATAAAAACAACAAAATAGGGCAAGAATTATATAGATATAGAATTTTTACTGTTAAAATGTTACTGATGTTATCTGTAGAGTTAAAAAAGATGTTAAGACATATTACTCAGCAAACCTGACAAGCTTCATAACTACCTCTCTTTTAGATTCTTCTACACTTCTCCTCAGAGTCTAGGTATTGTCCCTTGGGTCTCATATTAAAATAGGATTAACTGTCTATATGTAGTCTATTCTGTTAGTTAGTTTATTGGTAAGTTTATTTTTATGTTTGTTAGCTTTATAAATTTCAAGTACTGAGACTTATGTCATCAGGGTATCAAACAAACTTTACCTTAAAAAAAAAATCCAATAATCAAAATCCTAGGAATCACATTATTCTTTAGACTACAGAAAATATAAATTGTATTGGCTGCAATGGTTTCATTCTTAGCATTAGAAAAGTTCATCTTCATGAAGGCCTTTAGAACTCTACCAATAAAAAAATATACATTTTTTTTTAAGTGAGTACACCAATTTTGTGGATTATATAGAGACAAGCATTGAAAGAAAATTTCTCTACCATTGTTGTTGTTAAGCGTCCTTGAATTGGTTCCAACTCATAGCAACCCTGTACAGTGTTTTCGTGAGTCCTGGTGTGGCACTGTGGATTAATGCACCAGACTGCATAGCTGTTTGAACTGCAAGGTCAGAGGTTCAAGCTCACCAGCTGCTCCACAGAGGGTTGTTATGGGTCGGAACCAACTTGACAACACTTAACAACAACGACATAGTGTTTACACGGAGCAGTTGATGGGTTTGAACTACTGACCTTGTGTTAAGTCCAGTTCTTATCCTAAAGTGCCACACGAGGATTCCTCCTCTAGCCACATCTGGTCCTATATCTGGTCCAGTATTTTTTATGAAGGTAAATGGTTTCATCTGAACATGTTAAATTCATAAAATAATGTTTTGGATATACTTGTGTTAAATATTGTATGTATGGATAGCTTTGGTGGTAGCTATATTTGTAAGATTTTCTAAATATATGTTGTTATTGCTGTTGTTAAGTGCCATTGACTCAGAGTGACCCTGTACAGGTTTTCAGATGAGTGACAGGGAGTTTTTTATCGACAACCTTGCAGTTACCAGTCTATTGTTTGTACTCCTCATCGCTTCCAAATATCTATGTAAGATATATTTTATTATCATATTCAAAAAGTATTTCTTATCATTGATTACATACTTTTAATATTTTTAGGAATGGATTGCAAAGTAATTTATTTATGCCTTCAGTTTTTTACTTTTAACAAAATGTTTCTAATTATATGTGTAGATATTTAGCTATTTTATTACTCAGCTTTTAAATAATAGTTTATAACAAACCACTCAGAAACTCAGTAGTTTATAACACTAAGCATTTCTTTTCATATTCACAGAAGATCAAGTTAGTGATGATTGGGCTTATACAGGCAGGACTGGGTGGGATGATTCTGCGGCGGGTTGGTGAAGTATGTTTAGAGCCTATGGAGTATGTATGATCTCAGGACAAGGATAAAGGGGCAGTGACTACCAGGGTACAACATTCTCAAGGCGAGTTTCAAGAATGAATGTCATACATATCTAATGCTACACTAACAGATACAGCACAGGTGGATGCCTTGACAACGAGAAGTTTATTCTCTCACAGTTTAGGAGACTTGAAATCCATATGTACAGTGCTGGCTCTGGAGGAAAGTTTCATCTTTGTTAGCTCTGGGAAAGGTCCTTGTCTCCTGTCAACATCTATAGGTCCTTTAGTCTTCACTATCCCTTAGAGATCTCCATACATCATGACATCAATCGCACCTTGGATCTAGGAACTACAAAGTGTAGAAACCCCTGGTCCAAACAATGCTTTCCACTCCTGAGTCTTCTGTCTTGGTGGCAATAGGTCACTCTGAGCTCTGCTCACTGATTTCTCCTTTTACATATGAAAAGAGATTGAATCAAGATACAACCTAACCTGCAGATTTTATCAGACCCATTTAACATCAATCAGAGTACTGGTGTGGCGCTGTGGGTTAATACACCGGACTACAAAGCCGATGAACTGCAAGGTTGGCAGTTCAAATTTACCAGCTGCTCCTTGGAAACCCTATACAGGGTTGCTATGAGTCGGAACCGACTCAACGGCACTTAACAACACACATCAGATCACATCACGTTGGTGACTGAACCACATTAGATCAATGACTGCAGATTAACTGCAAAACTCCTGAGACTCCTTGGCGAGCCAACTGGTCACAAATCCAGAATTGTCACCATGAGCAAATCCCCAACATAATTACATAAGTCAATATTGCGTCGAAACAACTCCAACACTAAGGCATATGATCTTTACCTTTAGTAATTTCTCAAGTCACTAAAACACTTTCACCCATGTAATTTTTAAAGTGTTTGGTTAGAACTTTGATAATTATACTTTTTAAATTGTTATTATCTTTAAAATCTTCCCAAGTTTAGTATTGCATTAATTGGAAATTAAAACTGAGTAAATTTTTACAACATGGGTTTAAATTAAAATTTTTTAAGATGCCCTCATTGGGTGATAAACCACTGAACTCTTTTTAGCTGAAGTTTATGGCCCCTACATCTCACTTGTTAAATTAAACAAATGGACTGGAATCTTGCCAAGTGCATATTTATATTCAACAGGTATACAGAGAAAGCTGCTCTTTGTATTTCTAACAAATTCCCACTGATGTCCAAAATGCCATGAATGCTGGAGAAAATGGAGCATTTTAAAGATGAACACTTTAATAATGAGTGGTGGTTGTTTTTAATAAAGAAACATCTTGAAATTTTCTTAAATAATTTCTATGTATTAGATGTAATGTTTTTAGTTTTTTCTGTTCATGAGATGACTTAATGGCATTGTATCTCCATATAAACCGACTTTCTGAAGATGGTTGTTGTTGTTAAGTGCTTTCTAGTCAATTCTGACTCACAACTACCCTGTGAGTTTCCAAGGAGCTACAGGTGAGTTTGAATACAGGACCTTGTGGTAAGAAGTAAAGCACTTATCCTACAGTGCCAACTTCCTGAATACATTGAAGCAAATCTAAGGCACAATCTAGGTCATTCCCTAACACAACTTTTTGAAAGTCTGGGTAATAATGACTTTGCTGGTGGGTAACTTCTATCACCTTCATCTTTCCATCCAGTTTTTTTTTTTTTTTTTTTTTTTT